ACCGAAGCTCGCTGGTGCGGACGAATCGTGTCGTCCGCGGGCGTCAAGCATGATCCCGAACGCATCAAGGCGTTGAAAGAGCTGAAGATGCCGGTGACCAGCCAAGATCTTCTGCAGTTTCTATGCGCCATGAATTGGATGGCATGTCGATCCTAAGGTACAATGTGATTGTACAGCCGATGACCGATCTGTTGGAGTCGGGCTACAAGCGGCGCTCGAACGCGCCAGAAGGTCGCCAAGGTCCTCCTCGCTGAGGTGGGATGGAACGCTGACCACGCAGCGTGTTTGGATCAGTGCAAGGAAGCGCTCAACCGGGTGGTGACCCTAGCTCACCCGAAGCAAGATCGGCTGATTTGTGTGTCTCCCGACGCCAGCGATTTGCATTGGGGTGGCGTCGTGATTCAAATCCCACGCGCCGCGAACTGGACAGTCAAGACCACGAGCCGCTGATGATTCTGAGCGGCATGTTTCTGGCGCCGCTCAACGATGGGCAATTGTCGAGAAGGAGACGTTCTCGATCGTGGAGTGTTTGAAGCGGCCAGACTAATTTCTGCATAAGCCCGGTGGATTTGCGTCGTTCACCCACCACGCAAACCTCAATTTTTTCTTCAACCCGGCGTCCGTGAACGCCGCGATTCCCAAGTACACGGCAGCGAAGTTGGATCTCTGGGCGTTGCTTTTGATGGGGTACGATTCAACCATCTATGACATCTCGGGATATGTCAACGTGTGGGCCGACCTGTTGTCCCGTTGGGGGGCAAAGCCCAATTTGGTTTGCCCCATTGTCCACGTGCCATTGAAGATTTCGCCGTTGCGAAGTGATCACTTTGTGTGGCCAACGATGGCAGAAGTGGTGGACAAACAAGTCCAAGCCATCGGTCGTGGTGAATATCCCTCGGCAGATTGGGTCGAGGATCAAGTGGATATTGATGGCGAGCAAGTGCCAATGTTAAAGACGTCGGCGGGTACGGTGTGTTCGAGCGTTTTTGGTGGTCCCATATGGCGTCGGACGTCGCGTACATTGTGAGCCGGTGTTTGCATTGTGCCAACACCGGCGGCCATGTTTTGAGACAGTTTGGTGCAACGGTCCACGCTACGAAGCCGAACGAGATCCTACTTTGGGATTTCTTGTTCATGGACGGTGGCTACATCCTCGTAGCCAAGGACGACTTCAGCCAGTTCAAGTGGCTGTGGGAAACGGACGCTGCCAACGCGCAAGTGGTCGCGCGTTGTTTGCTGCAATGGTTCAGTGTGTTTGGCGTGTGCTATCAATGGGTCAGCGACCAAGGGTCGCATTTCAAGAACGAGGTCACCGCCGAGCTCCAACATGTCCTTGGAGCTCATCACCATTTTACCACGACAAGATGCCCGTGGGAAAATGGCACAGTCGAAAGTGCCATGAAAACGACACTGAAGACATCCCGAGCGCTGCTCTCGGAATGGTTGTTGCAACCCGATGAGTGGCGACTGATTGTGCCGGTGGTGATGTTTGTGCTAAACCAGAGCCCATCGGAGACCCTCGGTGGGACGTCTCCGATCACGGCTATGACGGGTGGACCGGCGATGTCACCATTTGGATCGCTTAGTCCTCCCCAGTCTGACGAAGACAACGGCCTTGGAAGAACTGTGGTCGTTGCGTCAAGTAGAGCTCAAGTCGTTAGTAATGTATCTAGACAGTATGCACGAGAAGATTGTGGAGGGTCGTCGAACAAACGCCTCAAGAATCGCCAAAGAAGACTGATGACGAAAGGCATCGAAATGGCTCAATTCGATTGGGCGACTTTGTTTTGAACATGGACGTGTGGTCCATGTCTCCTTCCAAGTTGAGTGTCACGTGGCGTGGACTAGCTCAAGTCGTGAAGACAATTTCGGATTGGATTTTCGAAATCCGAAATTTGGTCACGAGCGAGGCCTGTGAAGCCTACAGCAGTCGGCTGAAGTTTTATGCCGACGCCTATCTCGAGATGAGCGAGGAGCTATTGCGCCATGTGGGGCACAATGCAGATGGACACGTGGTCGATAAGTTCGTCGACTGCCGCTACAACGACCGTCTTGCCACGTACGAAGTGCTGGTGAGCTGGCGCGGCCTCCAAGATATCGAACACTCGTGGGAGCCCGCGAGCAACTTGCTCGAAGACCTGCCGCCCGCATTCAAGAAGTATGTGCGGGCGAGCGCTGAAAATGCCACGGTGATGGCGATGGCGAAAGCGTTGGGGGTGGCACAATCGTTGGGGGGATTGTTGCGAATTTGCCATTCGCAGAACCCCTGAGGTCCCCCCAAGAGGCAGTCCAAGGGTTTAGTTCCCTTGGGTAGTATGCCGGACGATTTGATTGACCAATTGGAAGAGTGGCTGGGATCAGCTGACTGATTAAGGTAAGGTTAAGCTCCCGTGGCTGCTTGCCGCTGGGGGAATCTACTTCGTGATTTGCCTTTGGAAACGGACTTCGCGGGGTCCGTCAGGTGGAGACGCAACAGCCGATGAGAATTTGTTTCAAAGCGACGCGAGTGGTCTGCGGCTGGCCTTGACCGACGCCGTGTATACCCTGACGTCTACGAGTTCCGGGATCGAGTGGGATGTTGTTGAAATCCCAACTCGTTTTGCAACCAATATGGGGCTGCCGCCACTCCCAACGCTGACGACATACAATCCACTTGTTACCCCTCTCATTGTGTTGATGTTGTCGCAACGAATTCCATCATTTTGGCATCCATCGAAGAACGTGCGGATCACTTGCTTCAAGACCTGCAAACCCTGCGATTCGAGACGCTAGCGATTTGAATGAATGGATAAATGCTCTGGTACAACCGAACATGTCGGGGTTTTCGGCCATGCGGTCTCGAAGGAAATCCTCCTCATAGACGAACAGAGGAACCGAGCCATTGAGCAATCAGTCATGCGGAAGAGCCTGAAGGATCAGCTAAGTTTTCCTGGGACTGCGGATTGCAATCGCCAGTTCACCGCCAAGTGCAATGATCTCTTGATCAGTGATCTTCCATGGCAAAATGATCATATGGAAACAAGTGTACTTGTTCTCGGTCTAACCTTGATTCTCGTCTCACGTGCAGGAATGTGTGTGAGAAGTAAGGTAGAGGTTTGCCCCACGGCCCGCATTGAATGAAGTCACTTTGGATTTGTCATCGAGTCTACCGACGAGAGTTCGGAAGCTGGCGTTGAGTGCCGGCGCAGACAATAAAGAGTTCTTTAGCTGTCTTTGGACAAGCTAGCAAGCAAGAAGCATGGAGGCCCCCACGAGTGGGGCTGGATTTCAACTTGACATGGAGTTACCGGGGAGCGACGGCGACGAAGCGGGATCTACGCGGGCGCTCTCTCGTTCGAACCGGTCAGCTAGTCCGGACGTTGCCCTACGTGAAGCCGACGTCGACGGTCGAGGGCGGCCCCAAAGAGCAAGTGTGGAACCCTTGTTTCGATTGCCCAAGGGTCGGCGTCAACGGTCGACGAAGAATGGTCATCTCCAAAGCAGCCGTTCGTCGAGACACGCAAGGTGCCCGCCGACCGGGCTGTGTCAAAGGAAGACGACGATAAGGGTCAAGTTGACGGGTTTCTGCAAAACGCGCCTGCCTGCCAAAGAGCCCTTTGTTCAAGGGTTCTGCAAAGGAGGAGAAGCGTACTTCATGATGGCGTACAACATTTACATCAGCCAAACGAATGAACTAACAGCCAATCGGGTGCGTCAGTTTATCATGCCTGTGCGCGCGTGCATCGAGCCTGTGACGAAGCAACGCATCGCTAAATGGGACATGGGCAAGGACCCAGAGGATGTGACGGAAGATGAATGGATCGCATGGTTCATGCTGGCGTACCAGGTGGACCCACGAGCGCTAGACTCCTTGAAGAAACAGATCAGAGCGGCGGCAGTTTTCGGCATGTCCATCACCGACGCCGATTCGCGCATCGGTCGCATGCTGGACGGCATGTCAGTGGCTATACGCCGCGACCGTCAAGATTGCGTGATTCGGGAAGAGAGCACTGCGATCGTCAAGATTATTGTGGATGCCATCAAGCCATCGACATTGCACCGCGCGGTGACGGAGCACATATCGTTGGCACGGAACAAGGCGTTGAAAAACGATGTATACCGCTTTGTGCGATGGCTGCGCGAGTTTGCAATCGGTCACGCACGTTACGTTGGTTACGAAGAAGAATTGAAACCGAGCGCCACTCACGACGCGCCAAAAGCGGCACAAGGCGCCAAAGGAGCCTCAAGACCGGGTGTACCCTTGTCGAGGCGGCAGACAGTGATCTCAAGCTCGACGCCGGCCGTCACGCCCGAGTTCCCCCAAGGTGGTTGCCTGAAGTACAAGTCACCAGACCATAGAGTGCAGAACAGTCCTGCGGTGACCAAGGACGAAGCAATAGTCCTGCTGAAGAGCCATGCCAAAACCCTGGCACAACGGCGCGGAGACACCACGAAGGGAAGGAAGCCCCAAGATGGTCGATTGGCCACGATTCGCAACGCGACCGTTAAATCGGGTCGAGAAACTTTGCTTACTGTGGTAGACGGCGTCGTGCCAGTGTGCGCATCACTGCTAGACTCCGGGCAGATCTAACGGTGGCGTCTGGCGGGCTTGTATCGGCGCTGCTAGCTGCTGGTGCGTCGTCGGAAGTTTTTGAGATGGGATCGATCAACCTGCAGCCCTATGGAAAGGACAGCCGTCCCATCAAGGTGACGAAACAAGTTTGTCTGGGGCGCGTAGAGTTTCAAACTGCGTATGGTCCGCTATTGCTGCGCGGGCTGCGCGCATGGGTCGATGAGACGGTTCCTGCAATCGAGCTAACGCTGGGTTTACCCGTTATAACGATCCGTTGGATATACCGACCAAGGTCTGCTCAACAACGCGCGACAGAAAAACGCTGTCTGGGATTTTACGGAGGAGTCTACAGTAGTGCCGAGCACGGCTATGCATCCGACGATGCGGTTCGGCCAGGTAGACGACGACATCGACGAGGACGAAGGGATGTGCTGCGCAACACCTGACCTCAGTGGATCGCCTGACACGGCGCAAGTTAAAGCGCTCCTAGCGTTCAAGGTCGACGCCGCCATCACGTGTTCTGCGTGGCAGAGCAGCCTGGGTCGCCCGTATGTTTGCCCCGCTGTGTTGGAAAATCGACTTATGTGGATTAGTGCACCCAGCAGTCGGATTGGTTGCTAGTCTGCATACAATTACCAAGTTGACGCTCAAGGAGTACTTAGCCTGTGAAGTGGTTACGCTACTGAATGGTAGTCATTAGGGCAGCCCCCTCTTGAATACCAGTGTTGAATTTGCCTGTTGCCTCGAAAGGGTTCGCGGTCGGAAGCCGCGTTGAACGAAGCACAAAGATATCTTTTGTCAAGTTTGGTTCCATCCAAGCTTAGTCGACACTACGGGATGGTACGCAGTGGTTCGTCGGAGGACGAAGCGTCCAACAGGGAAGAAGCCCGCT